TATATATATATAAATATATGTGTGTGTATATATATATATATATATAAATAAACCTGAAGAAGTCTTCCCGTGAAGTCACAGTAGACTTTCTCAACAAAGGAAAGAAATGTAAGCCCAGTGGACTTCATCTCATGAACTGACAACAGCTTACACAAAGACATAGTTGCTCAAAGGTGCAAAACAATCCTTCCAATCCCAAATGACTGATGAAGGAACATGTTAAAACATCACAGAATGGGGCCAGCAGGTGGTATGGAGGTTATGGCACTGGACTCCCACATGGCCAACAGTGGTTTGAGTCTCAGACCCGGTGGCTTGAAAATCATGCCAGCCATATGTGTGTACATGCCCAAAAATCCTAGAAGTAGAGGAGAAGGGATTGTGGCATGGACATCTCTCCCCTACCCCCTGGGGGGTGATTTTTCACTTTCCCTCTTACTGTCTCTGTCTCTTTCTTGTAAGCAGACATGTCCTATGGCAAAAACCTTTAAAAAATATACAGAACAATGAAGAACAACTTCAGAAAGTAACAAATGGTTTGAATAGAATAACTCAGAGGAAATGGATTGAGGAAGAAATACACTAGGTTGAAAATATAGAAGAAACTTTTCAAGGTGTATGGAAACATGAACTATGCCTATCAGTGAATATGCAACCTCTATAGAAGATGGATGGAGACATGGAAAAAGGAATTAGAGAAGCCACTTCCTTCTACCAAAATCAGATCACCTTTATGAGAAGAGAGCTCAAGGAAGCAGAATGGCCTCTCTGACAACTGAGAGGAAGCTTGACAAGCTAAGAAAACGATCACATCGAATACTACGGAATGTTGAGTTCATGTCTCAGCCTTCCCAAGTGGTTCTTTTGCTCCTGCTGTTCCACACACAGCCCACCATGGCCCAGAAGTGCCAAGGAGACACCCCCACCCCCAACCCCACCCCAAGGTCATCAAGGCTCAGAGATCCAGGCAACAGTCAGGTATTGTTTTTTGTTTATTTCTTTTCTTTTCTTTTCTTTTAATTGCTAGAAGGCACATGTACTCACTAGAGAAAGAGAGAGAGACCAAGAGGGAAAAAGCACTCCCAATGGGGCGTGGTCACGCTGCAATCCCTTCTCCATTTCTCCATCCTGTCAGGACTTTGGGCACACTTGTACAGGTGCCTGGCATGTTTTTTGAGCTGCCAGGTCTAGGACTTGACCTGCACAGTCAGCCTGGTGAGATCAGTTCCTTTAATCACTAGATCACGGGGACTAGCCAACAAAGTTTCCTTTTTTTAAAAAAGGTTTCACTCATATATGTATACACATTTCAAGCCTGCATGTCTGGAACTCGAACCACAGTCGGCCATGTGGGAGTCCGGTGTCTTAACCACTACGCCATCTGCTGACTCCAAGGTTTCCTTTTTATCTTTTTTTAAACATTTGTTTATTTTTGGGACCAGCAGTTAATGTAATGGCTATGTTGCTGGACTCCCCCCATGTAGTTGACCACGGTTTGAGACACGGACCCGGTGGCTTAAACTCACACTGGGCGCGTGTGCATGCGTGCCCAAGATCCTGAGAGAAGAAGAATGAAGGAGAAGGGATTGCGGCGTGACCATCCCCCCTGGGGGGTGATTTTTTGCTGTCTCTCTGTCTGTCTGGCGAGTGCACGCGCCCTGTAGCAAAAACCTCTTTTAAAAAAAAAAAATTTGTTTATTTTTAAGAGAGAAGTTTTCTATAGGGCACATGCACTTGCCAGAGAGACAGAAATAGACCTCCGAGACAGAATGAGAAATCACCTCCCTATGTGGGATGGCAATCCCTTCTCCTCCATTTTCCTCTTAGAATCTTGGGGGGACACACACATGCTTCCAGTGTGAGTTTCAAGTCACCGGGACTTGAACCTCAACTACGTGGGAGTCCAGCAACGTAATTGTTACACCATCTGCTGGTCCTGGTTTTCTTGTTAAAAAACCTCTGAAGCATCCTTACCAGTGATAGAGCAAATATCATCAGTATCTGTTTTCATCAGTTTTTTTCTTTTTTAGTTGGAGGATGTATTTACTTGTCAGAGACAGAGAGGAAGAAAGAGAAAGCACCCCAAATTGGAGCATGGTCAAGCTGCAACTCCTTCACCTCTATTTCCCCCTCCTTTCAGGATTCTGGGCACACACATACAAACACCCCATGTGTTTCTCAAGCTTCCAGATCCAGCACTTGCAAGGATGACCCAGTAAAATCCGGTTCCCTAAGCCATCAAGTCACAGAACTAGTCCTCACAGGTTTATTTTGAAATGCATTATAAAGTCCTTTGACCACAGGGAATTAATCCCCTAGCATGTCTCCGATACTTGTTCACCCACGGATCTTTAAGCCAGGCTGGCATTTGGTGTGAATCAATTTCTTCCTGTGGAGATGAGTTATGAAGAATACCAGATTGTTCTCAGAAACGGAAAACTGTAGGAGAGGCTGGCTGCCTTCCAAGGAAAAAAACAGACCAGTTTCAACAATAACTAGGAAATAAAGGTACGGTGAAAAATGTGTATAAAAGGCGTTAGTGTAAGGTCATCCAAACTATTTGTACACATAACTGGAAACCCACAAAACTGCGTTTCCTTAAAACAGTGAATCTTTGAAATCCATGACTACTTCTGACTCATAACCCGCTATTCCCTGGGAAGCTTCACTCAAAATAGCAAACTCCTCAGATAGCACAGTTAGCATCTGAAGACCCACCCGTACTATGAGAATTATGTAAACCTTGCCCAACGATAGTTGTGGCATCTTTAGGTTGGATAAGTTTATTTCTGGTAACCATTAGGACAATGAAAAAAAAAATTTTTTTTTTGAGAGGTTTTTGCTATGAGGTGCATGCACTTGCCAGAAAAAGAGAGACAGAGAGACAGAAGGCAAGAAATCATCCCCCAGGGGGGATGGCCACACCACAATCCCTTCTCCTGCATTCTCCTCTCAGGATCTTGGGCACGCACGCACATGCGCCTGGTGTGAGTTTAAGCCACCGGGTCCGGGACTCAAACCGCGGTTGACTACATGAGAGTCCAGCGACATAGCCATTACACTAACTGCTGGTCCCAAAAAAATACTGTTTAAGATGTACACGTCTGGTGCTATGCTGCTTCAGTTGCTACCTCTTGAGGGCCTACCACATGCTAGGTACTGTTCTAAGCCCTAGGATTACATAGGTGAGCAAGACGGATGAGTCCTTCCTTCTGGGAGTTTATATTATTTTGATGCTGATCAATTCAAACAAAACAAACACCCACAAGAAAACTAGGCATGGTTAATTCCTCTTTTTTTACAGGGATAAAACCTGAGCTTTACGGAAGGTAAGGCATACATCCGGCTCAGGTAGGTGGCACAGTGAGCAGAGGAACCAGGCTGGGAATACCTGGTCTGGTGTGATCTTTCCACCAAGAGCAGGTTCAAAGGAAAACTGACCATTTTTAAATAGGAAAGATTGAAAATGCAGTTAAAAAAATGTTCCTCAGTATAAAAATTCTTTCCCAAACACTTATTTTGTTTTTTAAAAAGTAGGCAGTTTTGGAGGCCAGCAGGTGGCATGGTGGTTAAGGGTGCTGGACTCACACATATCTGACTGCGGTTCAAGTCCCGGACCTGGTGGCTTGCTTTCGCACTTTCTCTCTCTCTTGCTCTGTCCCTCTCTGGTCAAATTTAAACAAACAAATAAATGGATAAATAAATAAAGTTAAATAAAATCATTCTTAAAAAAAAAAGTAGATGGTTTTACCTAGCATAGAAATGAACTCATGTGAGGATTCAGGGCAGGTCACTTTCAAAGCCTGCATCAGAGAAAGCTCTCCTGAAAGCCCCAATCCCCACTTGATGCAGATTTGGGGGTGTAAATGCGGCAGGGAACATCCATCAGGTTGGCCACATACCTGGCACCTGCTGGGACTCCTTCAAATCCAGGATATCTCTGATGTAGAGTTTTGCAAAGGCTAGAAACACAGGGTCCATGCCCCACAGAAGTGAGGGGGTCTCCTCTTCACACCGGCTGGACTCAGACTGCACGGTTGAGCAGCTACCTCCAGCTAACCCTGAAAGAGTCTGCATCATTGAGTCAATGATCTAGGGAGACAAAAATCAGGATGCAAGGCATTTAATGTGGGAGAAAGTGGTATGGCCCTGAAGCTGCCCCCAGATGGGCATCTATAACTCTGGGAGGGGTAAACCCATGGGTCTTGGTGTGGAAAGAGGCATTCCCTGTGTGAGAGCCCCTGAGTTCCACATGGCTCTCACTGCTCTTTCCCCACAGTACCAACTTCCGAAAGGCCAAACATCAACTTTTCATCTTGGGGAGTTAGGTCTCAGGCGTACCCTGAAACCGGCTCAGATGGGTGGGGTTCGGGAGAAAAAAATCAAAGCCCGGGCTATGCACGTGTTGGGCCAGTGGGTGGGGCTGATAGTTGCTGTGGCTCACCACCTTCTGCGTTTCCGGACAAGCCAAAAAAAAGGAGGAAAAAGGAAACCAAAAATGGATGTCCACAACTCCTCCCCCCGCCCCCCCGCCGCCGCCCGCAGCTCACAGGAGCACCGAGGCCTAGCCCTCTTTAGCGATCCCAGCCGAGGGCGGCGACCGCTCCACCCCGCGCAGAAGCAGTGGGCAGAGGTTGCCTCATTTCCTTCCTGCACTCGGCGCCTCACCACAGCCCCGCCCCGGGCACGGCCCCGCCCCGAACGTGGCCCCGCCCACCGCCGTAGTCCCGCGCCTCGCCGTAGCCCCGCCCTTCGCCGTAGCCTCGCCCTTCGCCGCGCCCAGCTCCTCGCCACAATCCCAACCCCATCCTACCCACGACTCCATCCCACCTAGCCGAGGCCCAGCCCAGTTCACCTTCTGCAGCGTCTCTGCCCCGTACTCCTCCCTGGGGCTGCCGGCCGCGTTGCGTTCTTACCTCCTCCTCCAGAATTCAAGCCCTTTACTCGGTGGGATCCGGCTGGAACGCCTGCCAAATCGTGGAGGCCTTAGAGTCCACCCAAAATTCCTGCTCCCAAACCCGGTGCTTCATATCACTTTTTCTCACCCCCGGTGCGTCCTGCCGCTGTTGGGTACCAAGAACCAAGACCTTCAAGAGGCTGGGACAAGATCAGACTTTTTTTTAAAATGAACTATTAAACGAACAAAAAAATAATAACGAAAAAGGCAAAGCCAAAAGCAGGATTGCATTATGGCATTATTTTACATGTTTATTTACATTTGAAAGATGAGCTACTGACACGCTGGCTTTAGGACTCTATGGTCACTCGGACTCTATGGTCACTCGATGGGAATTGACAGTATCTAAGTTTGTACCCAGAGTGAATGCGAGGTCTTGACTGCTGGTGACTGGCCCTGCAACATCGTGGCAATGCATTTTGTCTCCTTTTCTCTTATTTTATCTGTAATCTGGAATGTTGTACAGTTATGAACTTTAAAAAGTTGTATTTTGGTGAATCATGGCGGTCAAGATGCTGTTTTGTCCTTGTCAGTTTTAGTTTAAAGTGAGCAAAGGTAGCCAAAGTCCATTCTCATAAATAAATATATCATGACATTACTCGAGTTGGCAAGAGTGCTTCCTAATTGACAGGAACTCTGTACAGGGCTGGAGGAGCACACTCACCCTGGCAGAAGGTTCCAGAGGGAGGCTGGTGGTGGCCAAAGAGGTAATTGCTAAACTATTTATCAGAGAAGAAACTTTAAGCTGCTGGAACGGAAAATGTGTGTCATTAGAACCATGGCATTTAATTACCTCTCTGGCCACTGAAGAAGCTAAAAAACAGTCCTTGGTAAAGTACAGCATTGCCATGAGCCAGCCCGTGGTTTGACGGCTGGATTCCACATGAGGGACAGCTTGGGCTCTCAAGTCTTAGACCCTCGTGTGTGTGTGTGTGTGTGTGTGTGTGTGTGTGTGTGTGTACAGGCGCGCGCGCGTGAACGTGCCCAAAATCCTGAGAAGAGAATGGAGGACAGGGATTATTACAAGGCAATTCCCCCTACAGAATGTTTTCTCTCTTTCTCTCTGTGGGAAAAATAGAAAAAAAGAAAAGAAAGGTACAACATTGCCCAGATCCCACTGCAATGGACAGTTGGGCCTGTAAAGTTGAGGGTTTCATTAAGAGAAGACACCCTCTAGGGTGGGAGGGAGGAAGGCTCTTAAGAAAATGCACCCAGTTGGGTGAGCGTTTCCAGCTGACCTGTCAGATGGGACAGACAGGTTGGGCAACATTTTCCTGACTGTACCCACTTGCTCCAGGGTGGGACCCAAGAAGAAAATCATTATTGGGTGTATTCAGAGCTTGAGATGATTTCAAGAATGACTCTCATGGCCACTCTGGGATGGAGTGCTGGAGATAAGAGCCCTTGGGGACTCCAAGCTTAGGGCCAGCCTCGAGGAGCGCCACACTTAGGTGGCAGAAGCAGACCACACTGCCCCCCTACAATCATCTTGTGCGACTAAAGGAAAGACTCCTTGGAGGCTTGGGGTGCTTCTTTTGATCTGAAGCTCCAAACGTGAAGGAGTATTTTGTAACTAAAACGTCAGGTGAAATGTGGAACAGAATTTCCAGGCTGCAGAAGCTACTAACAGAATTCAAGAGGATCCTCTTCACTTCAGGTTCCCAGTTTTCCAAGCCACTGCTTAGACACACGTGAAGGGACTCCTGAAATCCTCAACATTGCCCAGTGCTTCCACTTGGGATCCACAACACTACTAACGCTTAATACTAGGAACACCTTCTCAGGGCTTCTCAGTAAGAAATAACTTGATATTTCAGGCATTTTTGACAGAATAGACAATCTTTTCTAGAAAGTTCAGATTTTAGCAAATTCTTCTGGAACTTTAGGAAGTTAAACTGCATATTGTATGTTAGATTTGATTTGGGAGCAGTGGCGAAGTCAGAGTCGGCAAAGGTGAAAATACCAGAGTCAGGCTTTAGGGTTTAATAAAACCAGCATAACTTATTCTGTGCTCTTGGGTGAGGTCCCTCGGCCTCAGCCTGGTCAGAGGCCCAGGGAGTCACACCCAGGGTGGGTGCTGCTCATTCTTAAAGGGCCGTTGTCCAATAGGTGGTCACCATGGGTCCTTGTCTGGCCAATGAAGTTTGCTGTTTCTGTTCAACTTTGGCAGGCGCGCCAAATGCTGAAGGGCAGGAAAGTCCGTTGGTGATGGCGGGCCAGGTGTGGACAACAGGGAAGTTCCTGCTAGCGGCGATGTTTCCGCCATGTTTCTTTTCCCTTCCCCCAGACCTTACATTGTATGACTCAAAACTCAAACTCTCTTGCTTTAACCAGTTTTTACATTTTTCCAGATAAAAAGTTTGTCCACTTGCAAGTTGGGTTAGATTTTTCTGTCCAAAGTTTACAGTTGACAAAGAGTCTTTCCTTGACCAATTCTAATCAGGTTCCTTTGAGCCCTCTTCTGAAGTAGGCCTCATCTTTGGCCTATAAAGGCTTGAACAAACACATGCTTTCTTTTCTTTCTTTTCTTTCTTTCTTTCTTTCTTTTTTTAGGTTTTTACTGTAGGGCATGTGTGCTCACCAGAGACACAGAGAGAGGGAAACTGAGAAATCAACCCCAGGGGAATTGATGGCCATGGCAAAATCATTTCTTTATTTTTAAAAAGAGAATTATTTTATTTTAACTTTATTTATTATTATTTTTACTTTCCAGTTTGATCAGACAGACAGAGAGAGAGAGGGAAAGTGAGAAAGCAAGCCACCAGATTCAGGACTTGAACCCTGGTTGGCCATGTGGGAGTCCAGCGCCTTTAACCACCACGCCACTACCGGCTCCAATGGCATAATCATTTCTCCCCCATTGTCCTCTCAGAATTTTGGGCACATATACACATGTGCCCAGCATGAGTTTCCAGCCAGATCTGGGATTTGAACTGTCGTCTGCCATGTGGAAGTCCACCACCTTAATACACCACCTGCTGGCCCCCACTAACATAATTTCTTATAACTCAAGGCCAAACCCTAGGGAAACCCAGCCACCATCAAAGTGCCTACCTGGGGCTTAAAGGCTGCCAAAGCATTTACTGTTTGTTCCCGCCAACACCGGAAGGTCAGGCCTCTGTCTCCTGCTCGGAGAGAAGGTGGGAGCCTGGCTTCAATAAGCACCAGTTAGCAAACCTGAGTTTCACATGCCTGCCCACTCTTTATCATTTTTCTCTTCCCCGACTCTGCTCAAGCCCCTGCCATTGCCCTTCCCTGACGCCCTCATTTTCGCTTCAAAATGCCCAGTTACCTCTCTACAAATCTGAGCAGAGCTCAGCTCTTTCCTTTCGGGGTAGCAGTCACTGAATAAAATCTGTTTCCACTGCTTTAGCTACTGTCCAACTGTGTTTCTCCTTGACAGAACGAGGACGACTGACCAACAGTCTTATTATGTTAATGTCATAGCCCTGGGGAACAGCCTCAGTTACTCAGCACACCTTGAACTCTGTGTGCTCTGGCACTGGGCTGTGCGGGAGCACTAATTACTTCACTGGAGTGAAAAGAGTGATGTGTGTAATACATTAAACGACAAATCGAGAAGCTAAACTGTAATTAAATACAGACTATAGCCTGGGTAATAACAACCACATGAGTGACAGCAGGTCTCTGGAGGGGCTTCATTAAGTGAGATAATATATGTAACTGACCACTGGAACAAGGTAAGCAATCAATACATATAACCATTGTTTTATTCACTGTGGAGGTAGGATTTAAACTGGGTTTTGAGACTTTGGAGGAACTAGTTGTTCCCTCATTCATTCATGAAGCATTTTTAAGAAATTTTGCTAGAGGGCACATACACTCACCAGGGAGAGGGGGAGAGAGAGAGAGGACTCTTTGGGTAAATGGCCACGCCATAATCTTTTCTTTGCCATCCTCTTCTTGGGATTTTGGGCATGCATACACGAACTCAGTGTGTTTTCCAAGCCAGTGGGTCCAGGACTTGAACTGCAAGTCTGCGATGAGGGATCCAGCTGCCTTAACTACCAGGAGACCCCAGCTGGCCCCATGAAGCTTTTGTCTGTCTGTCTGTCTGTCTTTCCCTCCCTCCCTCCCTCTCCTCCTCCTTCCCTTCCTCTCCTCCTCCTTCCCTCCCTCCCTCTCC